TCATGAAACGCCGAAAAAGAACAGATATTTTCAAAGTCGCGAAGAAACGCATTTATTGTTCTTCATAGGCAGTCACCAGTTACGTTACGTAACCAAACAGCATGCAATCGGCTTTGTAACTATAGCGATTTGGATTATTTTCTCAAACTTCAGCAAACATAGTTATTCTTTAACGTCACTGCATTTTCAAAATGACCGACATCTCCTACCTCCCCTCAACGTCCGGATAGTGGTCGACTTTTTTCAGGCGAAGAAAAAGGCGCCGATTGCCTCGTAAAATAAAGCTTTGGAACATTAAAATAAAAGCTTATCATAAATTAGAAGTTTGAATTTTTAAGCCCATATCCCTGGTTTGAATCATCGATAACTATGCTCGAAGGGAAGTCTTTTACACACAGCTGATTCAACCCTCTTGGAATCGTGTGACTTTAAATGCCCATTTCTCTAGCTTACGATCTTAGCCGAATCCTCTCAATGCTTCTTTTTTTACAAATAAGGGGAAGCAAAACTTAATTCATGAAGTGAAATTACACTTGATCCTGATATTTGCCTTATTTGTCCCCTAACATACCGTAGTAGCGGTCCAGCGATTCGATTGTTTAATCGTTAACGAATGAACTCGATCGATAACTCCCTATATCTTCACAATTCTACATATCGCAAGGTCATTCGATATCGATTCAACAATCGATAACTCCCTATCTTCACAATGCTCTATATCGATTAAGGTCATTCGATAACGATTCAACAATCGACCTGCAGATCCGTTCCCTTAGTCTATTCACGACAATGTTACGATTTCAACCTCCCTACATCGTACATCGAGGACTCGTTGTGAGTAGTTCGTCCGTTTCCTCACATTGCAAATTATGCCGTGCTAAGGAGGAACATCGTTTGAAAATTTGAATGTTGCAACATCTCAAACCATGAAATTCAAATTTTCTGAAGAACTAGTCGAGATTCCTCTTCGAAATTTTAAGAGAATTTTGATCGCAAGTTACCGTGATGTGTCTGAAGATTTTAGAGGAATATTTTCATAACTTTCCTGGAGAATAAATATTTTACTGAAAGAAATTTGGCGAAATTCTTTGGTTCATACGACGTTCTTAGGCGGCGCAACAGAATTGACGTCCGAGCAAATTGTCATCGCTCAGAGCACTCAGCGTTGTTGCCTGTTTGAGCATTTACTTGGATCGAGTTCAGGAAACGACTTGCAGTTCATGATGGAAAATATGCCTCACGGATGATTGATTTTAAGTAAGTAAATGGTTTAAGAATACTGAGAAATTTCATAAATTGAGATTTCAGTTGCATCAAGTTCACTGAAATTTTTAGAGCTAAAATGCCTTATGCAATACATTTTCCAGCTAATTTATTAAAATAAAAATATTCGAATGTACAGTTACTTTCTGTAGGGTTAGGGTTTTGGAGGAATTAGTGATGAAATAATAGATTCTGCATGTAATTTTTGAAGGCTCAGAGCATACCAAAGGACACAAGCAGACATATTCTAATCAATTAATTGATTTTTGTTACTTACACTACCATCGCAAGAAACTTAAAAATATTTTGAACATTGTCTTAACAGAGGTTCTAGATCGAAACAGAAGTAGAATTTGTTTTGAAAATTGAAGCGTTCAGTGCAAAAACGACCTAAAACGCCCAGAGTTAAAAAGTTGATTTACTTACAGAATAATAGTTTTCTGGGTCAGACATAAACTCTATTTATTTCTTTTAAAAAAAATCAATTGGTTGATTTTTTATGAGGTTATCATCAGAACATTTCCATCAGTTCAAGAAATTTTCAACTGCTCCTATTCGCAAAAAAAAGAAAAAGAAAAAGAAAAAAAATACTTGGATACCTACAACTGAATGTTAATCTCTCTATCATAGGTTAACAACACAGATACACCAAAAAAAAATCGAATTACTGTTGGAAACTATTGGCTACAGTTCCGAACAGTTGTTATACATTTTTTCTCTAAAATATATTCATATATTTTTAGAAGCTCGTGGATATACCTATCCTCTTTTCCCCAAGGCTTTTCTAAGATCGCGATTTTCACAAATGCGGATGGAAAACGTTGTAATCGATGCTTCGAGCTTACACCGCTGCTTAACTTTCAGCCTCCATTAAGAGCGCTTAGCCAAGCTAAATGAAAGATTCTTTATTTACAAAGTTCAAAAGTTTCAATGCGACATTGCAACGCTGTCAGGATACGAGGCAAAGCTATTAATTAATTACATCTGTCATCAGATGATGTAAGTACCGATTCAACAGGAAGCCCACGTCAGCCGCACCATTGCAATATGGTAGTCGAAAAGTACCCTTCCATTCCATTCAGTATTGTGAATTCTGGTTTGATTGTTCAATTTGGCAAATTAACATGATGTTTTCGTCTTGTCCATCTCAGAGCTTTGTCAGAGACAATCAGCCGAACCTTTCTAGTGATGAGACGTTGAGCAAGTCAAATCGAACGTAAATGATACAACTTGTAAAATTAAATGCGGTCGTTCTTTACGAAGGCTTTGCGAGTTGTGTATGCTTTGAAGGTATAAATTCATCGAAACGAACTTTCCTTGCATTTTTCTCTAACCGCCCCCTTACAACATGTTTTAACTCCGACTCTACTCGCTTAGCTAAGATTATAAATGATATACATTAGTTCATTTTTTCGACTAGAAATGTAAAGAATCGTCGATGAAATCAAGTGTTTTCATGTTTTCTCAGAGCTGAACGATCAGTGGTTGCACAGTGCACACCTCTCCAAAACTATTAAAAATCGAGGATTGAAATCCGGAGTCTATTTAGCGCCCGAAAACCCCGACGAATGAAAGGTGAAATCAACATCATAAAAGCGTATGACACTCCGCAAAAAGAGTAGATTTCACTCTGCAGTAGTGTAAGTCATTCCATATGAAGAAAAGATTCCATTCCGCATATTCATATCACTCGGGGTTTTTGGCCATTACATAGACTCCGGCATAGAATTTCACTCCAAAATTTTTAACAAAGGAATGAGTCGTTCATTTGGACCGAGTTTATAAGAAAAGAACCAACTCACATTTTCGAAAAAACCGAGTTAAGAATGTTTTTGAGTTCCACTATCCGTATATTTTTTCTGGCCAAAAACTGGAAGTCGAAAAAAATAAATTAGTTCGGACAGAGAGGGGTTAAATTATATTTCCTGAATTGAACCTTATGCAGGAATGAAACTTCAAACCTCTTTTTCTCAGTTCCAACATAATGTGCACTGAAAAAAAAGATTGGTAGAATTTATCATTCGAATGGTAAATTCGCTGTATTTTACACAACGTGAAGGAATGGTAAATTCTATCAATCTTCAAGTCGATTCTGCAAGAGGAATTCTGCCACGACCTGTGCCAGTATATAGTAACGTTTACCTTTCTTCTGGCAGATTCGACTCTGAATTGACGCTGTGTGAAATACAGCATGAAGGAATGGTAAATTCTACTAATATTTTTTTCAGTGTGGGTTAGTTCTTTTCTGAGGAACTCGGTTCATTTCTTGTTACATAGATACAGTTCACCGTTGGAATTTCGAAGATCCATCAATATTGCTGTGATCGACCTGGATCCTTAAATCGTGACACAACCGAGAAGAGACTACAGGCGTAGTACACATACGTCGACAAAGGGGGCATGGAAGGAGGTGTTATCACAACTGGGGTAATAACACCAATCCGGCTTCGATCCGCGGTGATAATAAGGTGTTTTAAAAGGCGGGAAATCTTCAAATATGATTCGTAATAATGATTAGGCGTGTAATAGCACCGAACGCGGAACACGGCGAAAAGGCGAGCGCACCCGGCCCCAGCCAGGATTGCCGAATGTTGCCAATAATTAGGAGGATTTCCATGTTAAAGACGGGAAAATTTGCGAAAATCCATGCAAAATCCGGCGACACAGGCAGCAGCTCCCAGTCGCAGGATCCGCTGATCTCACGCCTTGATTTGACGCCCATCTACCTTTGATTCTGCCCACCAGACCGCGCTGCGTTCCTGCGTTGCAAGATGAAAAGTCGAAGGCTCCGCAAAGTACGTCCTGGGCATTTTAACTAAGCGAGGAGATGAATCGAGGAAGGTTATTTCCGAGGAAAAACGGCGTGAAAATAAAGACTGCAAAAGTTTCGCAAAATTTAAATTTAAAAAAAGAAGAAGAAAAAAAGTTTATGTTAAAATGAAAATTTTCATTTCATTCTTTTTATTCAATGACTCTTAATGGATTTGAGACTCTCAGTCAAGAACTTGAAGGCATAGTGCTTTTTAAAATTTCTGCCCCGATGTTTGATAAATACATGCGGGCTGGTTATTAAAATTAGTAGACAAAGTGAAGGACAAAGAATACAAAAATAAAATGGAGCGATCCTATTGGTGAAAGGGGGTGATAACGATGGGCTATGATGTTATTACGTTATGGACTGACTGACAACAGCAACCCACTAGATACCCTATGGTTAGAGTCCATTATTTTCCCCATGCAGTCTACGGCAACCACCCGTTTCGACCAATGGGATTGCTCCATTTTCCTTTAGTCAGCCGCTCTATCTATCAATTTCAAGAATCAGCACTGCTTCGCAAAGGGCTGAGTCTTGTGTTTGCATTGATCGACATATTATAATGCAAGAAAATAGACCTCTTTAGTACAAGGGCATTCGACAAAGGAGCGGTATAGTTCCGATAGTCGGCCGATTGGTAACAAGGAAAAATTCAGTGTTCTTGACTGAGGGTTTGTGGGTTTGTGAGTTATTCCTTCTTAACTTACGAATACGAGAAGATAACCAAATACCAGTGAACAAACTACCACTTTAAGGATGTCATGCGCAGCATACTGCCACAGAAAGGGTGAAGAAAAGCAATAAAACAAATTAAAGTATCGTTATAAAGCGACATATAACTGTAGAATCGCAGTATCATGATCCTGACGAATGAATAAAGATGAAATTGAAATCCCAGGATCAGATAACATCGGAGACTTACCGTGCGTTAACAGAAGTTGGGTGTCCAACATCATCGACTGAAGGTTTCCTGTGAACATAGGAACAAAACAAAAGACATGAGGATAAAGCACGGGAATAGAAATGAGACAATTATGAGGAGGATAACAAAAAATTATGACGTTACGTAGAGAAAAAAAAAATCATACAGGCGATAGACCCAGGAGATTTGAAAGACAGTCCACTCTATAATCATACATCTCAAAGGAGATAAATATCACTGCACTTTTTTGTTTCGAATCAATTTCATATAGGCGGTTTTTTATTTCCCTCGATTCCGTTTCTCGCTCTGTCTCCTCAGTTTTTTCTCTCTCCGATAATTGGTCGAGGTCCCCTCGGTTGCGGGAATCCATACTGGCGCACAGGTGTCTACGAGCACATAACCACACACTACCATGTAATCATAACCAACATTGAAGGATGAACCAATTATTTTACATTTTTATGCTGCGAGATGCAGAGAGTGCCCGCGCCGTATAAATTATATCGGGAAATATTACACTTTTAGTGGTTTTCGAAGACAGTAATAACATTTCGACGCGACCGTACCGGGATAATTTGTCCGGAGTTAATCACCGCAGCGTGACTGGAAGTGGACCCGTCTCGCTCTTTCTCCGTATGCTTCGACGCGTTGGACAAGGACGGGAGCTTTGATTCAATCCATTTTATTTCCTTCTCCAGCTTAAGCGATTTAGCGGGGGGTGAGAGAGAGGGTCGATTCCGGCGCGCGTTGATTCGTTTCAGAAATCCGGCGTTGCAATGCAACTTGAAGCGGCGCCTGGTTGTCTTAAAGATATTTAAATCCTGTTTCAATGTCCGATATTCTTGGGATATACTGAATAAGCGTGTTGCAAAGTACATTTAGGGCCAAAATAAGAGTTATTCCTCGTGGACAGTGCCTCAAAAATCACGAGAAACGTATTGAAAAAGTCTGCGTGATGACCTCCTTCCCTTCTCTATCTACGTAAAAGATTTGTGTTATTTGAACATCGCTTCAAAAAGCATGCGACAAAACTGCGATAATTGGACTTCGTTTTGCGATTTGAAACTACAAATCCTGGCTCAGCTTACAAATTACGTATGTGCCGTCAATTTCCCTATGCACATGAGTGTTTTTACGGATAAGTCAGCAACTATAGTTCCCACTTGCAAAATGAAGTCTAATTTTAACTATATTTCTGGCTAATTTTGGTGGCAGCTAGTGAAAGGGTGGAAAAAGAAGGTGTAGTTGCAACAGCCAAAGTAAACGCTGAGTCAGCGAGAAATGTGATTGAATCAACTAGCCGGCATCAAAATCAGTCAGAGATATGGTGAAAATTATAATAATTCTTCCCGTACATTATCAGTGTAAATTCATCGAATATCGGTAGAGTTACAACAAATTTCAGCAGAATCATTTACCTGTCCCTACTCGGTATGCTCGTCATTTCAGCAAAGATGCCGTTAAATTAAACTCGTAAATAATAGATAATCCAAACGACGAATCAAAATCCACGACTCAAAATTCCTATCGGTATTAATCCAAGCCCCATCTACGTGACCAGTTTTCAGTTTTGCATAGCCACTCGCCTTAATTGCTCTCTTATTTATTCCCGTAAATCAATCTACAAGGGACTTCGACACGAATTAGGGCGAAAAACTAGCACACATAATCGCGATCGTGGCAAGTGACGAAAATTTCCTCGGACGTGCAGCGATGCCGAGTTACGGAAGAGACAAGTAAGTGCATTTCCGTATGAGCCACAGTTCACACATACTTTCCTCGACTATCGAATCTATATCGAATGATCTTGATCGATATAAAACATTGCTAAGATAGGGATTTATCGATTACATTCTTTCAATAGTCGATCCGACTCTTATGTGCCTCGCGGCTCATCCCAGAATGCACTTACGGCTCTTTTCCGTAACATTCGATTGTATAGTCGATATCGAAAGATGTAGATCGATACATCCCTATCCTAATGCTGTTTCCTATTGATTAAGATCATTCGATAGCGATTCGACAATCCAGGAAGGGGATGATAAGAGGGTGAGAGTGAGCGGTTGAGTGAGAGCATCCGGTGAATTACCAACGGGGGTTGTCGCCCGAGGATTTATGGGCAACCCGATCGGGATGAAACCGCGTAACAACCAACGCGAACACCGTGCGGATGTGCGGTTTTTGGACGACGGGTCATCATCCTGGAGAGGAATCATTATTTGAATAATCTCCATTTCGACTGTTGCTCCAGGGTTGCGCCGGGCGATAAGCCGGCTCTCTAAATCATCCGCAAATATTTTTATTACTTTCATTATTAAGATATTCCGCCCGGGAGAGGTTCGTCCCGGGTGCTCGGCGACCAATAAAAACGCGGTTCGGGGTGGTTTGGCTTCGGTGGTGGGGGTTTAATCAACTCGAGGTATTTTTTCGCGAAGGCGGATCATCTGGAATTCGACAAGGTCCCGTTTTGTGTTTTGGGTCCTGTTGCCCGGGATGTGCACTGCGATGCTGAGGAAAAAAAGGGTATTTGAGAAATTTCGACTTTATTTCACCCCTCTCCCACCAAATTTCTATAAGGAAGTTTTCTGCATATACACCGGAAAGACATTGCCTCTTAAGTTTAGAAGTATACTATTCATTTTTACTTCTTACATTGATGCACTGGAGAAAATTAGGATCTTACACATATTAGCGCCTACAAGACTCCATGAATACTTCACGCATTGCGTCAAACGTAATGCGGTCAGCAGCGGTTGGCGTAAAACGCAGAGCGCCTACAAGTCTGTAGGGATATTTCACGCATTGCTCCAAACACTGTGCGGTAGGCGCGGTGGCGGAAATTAAAATCATTAAGATGATTCGATGGACGCCATATTTTGTGTCAGAACGGCGTGCGATATATCGCATCAGCTGGTTCCATTTTTTCAGCTACTCGTCATTTTTCTCCAATTTTGAGATCGCAATTCTGTTGTCAGGAGACTAAAGCACTCACTTACCAATTCTAACAAAGAATTTCTACGTGATAAAGGCGTGGTTTTTTTAGAGAGAAAATATCGCCTTCGAGTGCAGTTTTGATATCAGTATCGAATGCGATGTTTTCTCTCTAAAAAAAACCACGCCTTTATTACGTTGAATTTCTTTGATAAAATTGGTAAGTGAGTGCTTTAGTCTCCTGACAACAGAATTGCGATCTCAAAATTGGAGAAAAATGGCGAGTAGCTGAAAAAATGGAACCAATTGATGCGATACATCGCATGCCGTTCTGACACAAAATATGGCGTCCATCGAATCACCTTAACTGTATATTTGTGTGATATTTTACATCGATTGTACATCAATTTTTACACACACGGTATTCATCTCAACAATGACGCAACAAAGAATCTCCAAAGGACAAAACCTCGCGAAATCGAGTCGCCGCGGCTGCTCGGAGGATGACTCTCATAGTCATAACCGAAACGAGGTTTGATGAATGATCCCCGTTTAAAAAGATATTACAGGGCCTCGTCTTTCCCCCGAACAATAAAATCGCGTGAATGCGGTGTTTTGACTCCCGATCGGCGCGGGATCATCCGTGTTTATCTGTTTCCGATGAGCAGATTAAACGGAAAACAATGATCAATATTTACCGTTATCCCGCGGGCCCACAAAGAACGACTCGGGGGCCTTTTACACCTGAGCGAGCTCATTGTCGGCCGCTCTCCGAGGTGTCGACATGGCTCCCAGGTGGGGCTCCCGGGCTTCGGAGAGGGGGAGGGGGCCGTGTGTCGATGCACAGTTAGCAAAAATTGGACTCCTCACAGACAAACTTCGGGAAAAAAAACTCCGGCCGTGGAAGCCGTACTTTACGCGCTATATAGACGTAAAATCCACGTTCCGGGCTCAGATGCCAAAAGTTCCGGGCGTAGCACCCGGAGCAATCGAAGCTACGGCTCCGGCACCCGGAACTTTCGGCCTCTGAGCCCGGAACGGACGGTATGTCGCAGAGGTCGTAACTTGAGAGTGGTTGGTGCATTAGACTACCGCCGATGTGATCCAGCACTGGAAAAAAAACACATTGGATCTAGAGTCCAGACTCTTAAAAACATCGACAAGAAAAAATACTCTTGATTCAATCGGAGTTTTGCTTAAATCAAAAAGCAAGCCTCTTAATTTGAGCGGATTTCCTTTTGATTTAAGCTTAGATCTGATTGAATCAAGAGCATTTTTTCTTGTCAATGTTTTCAAGAGTCTCCAATGTGTTATTTTTTCCAGTGAGGTTCGATCCTCAAGGCTACCAATCAGTAAGAGGTCGACAATAGAAAGCTTGTTTTCGGGTCATTTTTGGGCTCACCCTGATTTCCCTTAACTCCACAATTTTTCACTCATTTCAGGAGATGCGTCATGATTTGGTCATTTCCGGTCTCTTTTCAGCTCTCACACTGGCCTAAACATGGTTCTGAGGGCCGATTATTGCACAAGACGAAAACGGCCGCAAACTCGCAGTATTCACATTTTTTGTCAAAATCAAACCTCAGATCCATGTTTCGTTTAGGCCAGAATTAGACCTAAAATAGATCGAAATTTACCAAATCATGATACATTCTGTAAAATGAGTGAAAAATCGTGGAGTTAAGTGATGCCAGGGTAGGCCCATAAACGGCCCTTATCAATACATCTCATTTAACGCTTTAGTGTGCCCTACCCTAAAAACATGGAAGTATTACGATCCAATTTTCCTTGCGCTTCTTACGGCATGAATTTCCTCTTCGAGAGGGCCTCTTTTGAGGCGGTAAGTTCCTTATATTGTCAACTGTGCGCCGAAGACTCCTGTGACCGGTAGCCTAGGTCGCCGAGGTGTGATCTTCGGCGGCCGACGGTATTTATTTTTTACGAACCAATTATTTACTTTTCATTACCTCCGCGTGTTTCACACAATGATTTTTATTTTCACCACTCGCGAAGTATGGTCGTTGGCCCGTTTTGTCTCCAGCACCCTCGCCCCAGCTCTTCTTCCTGTTCCGGTCTACCGATCGGGGACTTTAAACCATGGAGTCTACATTTCGTCC